ACTTTGGGGGGGACTGTGACAAGGTCTGACTTTGGAGGGGGACTGTGACAAGATCTGGCTGGGGGCACTTGTTCACAGGCGCCTGCAGGGATGCAGAGCTCTTGGAAAGAGTGGTTTGGGACTTGCACTGACCTGGCTCACTCTGGCAGGTAAAATAATTCGGGGGCGAGCCGAGCCATTTTGAGCAGCGGGATCTGGCGGACGGATTTAGAAAACCATGCACACAGGGTTCCGGAATCCCAGGAGCCTGTCGGCACTCACTTTGCCAGCCTACTTCATTCTTTTCCTCCTTCCTAAATTTCTCCTCCCAGAGCCTCTGTGCTCTCCTTGGAAGTCAAGTCGCCAAAGGGAGGACGACTCCATGCCCAGGGCCGGTTTGTCACCGGGAGCTCCGGTCTCATTAGATACCCGCCCTCCAGCCCTGCGCCCTCCCAGTCAAACGTCCCAGTTAAGAGAGCACTCTCGTTTCTTTGCTTCCTCTGGTCTCGATGCTCTGCCGTTATGGGAATCAGTGATGGACACCAAGACCCTACGGAGAGGGGCCCCCCAGCCTTCCCCTTTCCCTCACCCCCGTTCGCTCCCTACCCCGCCCTGGCAGAGTAGCCGCACCGCGATCCCGTCAGGAAGGGTAGGCTTGGCCTGCCTGGTGTTGATCCCAGGTCGGTCCCTCTTCTCTGTCCACTTGCGCAGCATTCATTAAACCACACCGCTTAGATTGCCTTGAGAAAGCATTTGTGGTCTATTCCTCAGAAGTTGCATGTTGATTACATCACTCCATATTCACTGGGGTAACATGTGGGAGGAGTCTTATGGAACGTCCTTCCAGGACAAGAAGTCAGCAGTCTGTGCCCTCGTCCTGGTTGTAGTGCTGTGTCAATTTAGGTAAGCCTTGGGCCTCAGCTTCCTCACGTGTAAAGTGAGAATTTTGGACCAGATGACTTTGGGCTCCTTAACAAATCTAAAACGATATCACTAAAATGCTGATGTATTTATTATTTGAGATTTTTCTAGGTGAAAGATACCTGTGTTTGTATCTTGAAGAATGTTCACAAACTTAAGTTGGTTTGTTTTCTTTTTCAAAATAGACTTTTGAAAGACAATATGGAACTGTAGATAAATAGAAAGAAAACAGGGAGGCATTCACAGAACAGCTACCTTGAAAAGACGGTTACTGGCCCGATCCTTCTTCCTTCCCTCCCTCAGCAACCTGTTTCCTCGCTTTCATCAGTTAAGCCCCTCCACACACAGACACCAACGATGCGTCAGATCTGTGCTGTGGACTCCAGCCACTCTCCTACGGCTCCCTGCCCCTGGAGACACTCGGCTGAGCACAGCCGAGGCTCAGGAGAACAGTTGTCCATATTCCTGAGTCACAGGGTGACAAAGGCATCCACCGTGCCAACAACCTGGACAGCTGCCTGAGAAAGGGAAGAGCTAGTTCTAGCTTCCTTACTTCGGAAGGCAGATATTTCCAGAGGTGGAAGGCATTCTGGTATCCAGTAGCTAGTCCTTCGATTTTACATGAGAATATAACCGTAATAACAAGATACCAATGAGAACGAGAAACCTGGGTTTCCTCCTATTCCCTACCTGGCTGGCTCACAGAAGACATAACACAAACTCCCATCGTGGGGAAGCCTGAAGCCAGAAAGGTATGCACAGGAAAGCGAAAGTGACCCCGGAAGTGTGATACCCTGTTCCTACTAAACCACTGAGGACAGCAGCTGAATAACAAAGGAGGAGGGGTACCAGTTCTAAGCTCTCCCCCAGTGAGATGTCTACTGACCTGTCCCTTGCTTCAGCCCCTGGCAGCCAAAACACAGGACAGACACCATGAGGACAGGTACCCGCTGTCCATGACCCCTATTCCAACAGCATGACTGCTGGACCAACGGGTCCCTCCAGCTGGGCTCCTCACAGCTGAGAAATGCAATGGGATCACAGAAGTTGCCACTGAGCTTTAAGCAGCGAGCCACATCCCTACATCCACAACAAGGGTTTACAGGAAAGAGCTCTCAGGGACTCACTGCACCTCCCATGTTTCAGGAAGCCAGAGGGAGTCCCTAAGCTGTAGAGCATCCTGCGAACCACAGCCATGGAGTCCTGCTGCAGCCGTGAGGCAGACCAGCTGGAGCCCTGCAGCTTGGCCTCCACACGGACACATGCAGGGCACAGCTGCTGCAGTGCCCAGGGGCAGCACAGCCACCGAGGCCCGGTGGAGCTCAGACCCTCCCCAGCAGCCCTTACCAGAATCCCTGCACTTTCAGTCATTCTGGGTCTGGAGTCCTCCCTAGCTTCTGGTTCTCCTGTTGAAATGGGAATCTTTAAAGAGATCCCAAGTCCTCTCGTTTCATGCATTTTCTCTGGAGTAAGGAAATAAGCAGGTGGGGGTGTGGGACTTACATAAGAGTCTGGGTGCACAGGGCTTTCCTGGGCTGGGCTCTTCAGCCTGAAAGAGGAGACCCCTGGGGCCGGGCTGAGTCTCCCTGGTGCTCCAGAGCTCTGGGCAGCTTCCGCTGTTCATCACACTTTTACAAGGGGAAGAAAACAGGTTGGCTCTTGGCCTCTAGGGGAGCAGAGACCCTTTGGGGATCTGGTTCAGAGACAGCTGGTCTCTGTGTACAGCCAGGTTGCTGCTTCTGGATTTTATAAATACGCATCCCTGAAGCCAGGCTCAGCTCTCATTAGCAGGCGGCTTCCGAGGTAATTGCTTTTTAGAGCCACTTCCTTTAGCCACTTGAGGCTGGGCAACCCCACATCCACTGACAGCGCGTCTCCATTCGCATCCGTCTCTCAAGCTCGAAGTTCAGCTGCTAAGTCAAGACTTGCCTCTCCCGTCAAACACCAGATTGTTTTCCTTGCCACTGAAACAGCTTTGTCACGCCACCAAACACCACCCTAAATGTCAGACCCTGTAGTGTGTCCTGCAGGGAGGCCGTGCACTTTCCCCAAAACAGCCCGGGCTAACCACACATCTTCACATTGGCATAGCCTTGGGATCAGAAACTCCCAGGGGATGGCTTGAATTGCAACTTTCAGATTTAGAAACACAAGAGGGGGCGTTGAACGCTAGACCTCAGTGAAAAGAGGGCAAAGAAAAACTCTCCTCATATTAGGTCTGAAAGAAGCAAGAGGAAAGCAAAGTGAACTTTTTTTTTGAAAGACTGCCATGGTCACAGTCACAGCTAGCTCACCGGGACTAGACACCACTTTGCCATCTGCAGCCTCCAGACTCGCTGAATTTTCCAGGGTAAGCCCAGTGGACACGGCAACCAGGACAATGTAGCAGTTGGCACTAATTGGCTCCCCGGCCTATTTCGGTAGGAGCCAGCAGAGCCCCGACTAAGGGTGAAGATCTGAACAGACCTAGGCTCCGAGCCCTGTCCCCTCGCCTAGCCGCTTTCCCTGAGAACTCCTGTGACCCTGAACAAGAAACTGGGAGATGGTCACAGCCAACAGAGATGGCGCCTCCTTGATGCCAGGCGCCGCGCTAAGCCCCCTGCACACGCGGTCCCCTTTAATCCTCAGAACGCCAGTGTCACCCTCATCTCACAGGTGGAAAAGCGGAAGGCCAGAAAGGGCCACCAGCTCGCCTAAGGCCGCGCAGCTGGCGCCTGTGTGGGCTCAGCGCTGGCGCCCGGCCTGGGCTGAGACGCGGGGCTGCACGTGGGGTCCCAGGTACCAGGAGCCGCGGGGAGGGTCGCCGCCAGCCAGGTGCGGCGCTGCCCCAGGCTGCGCTCCGGGGGAGGAAGGTGCTCCCCCGGGTAGGAGACGCGCTACACACAGTCAGGCGGGGGTCCTTCCCAGTGTCCGCCTTGGCCCCCCGCCATGAGCGGCGTCCTACGGGCAGAGGGCACCCCGCTCAGCGGACTGGGTCTGGCTGGGGCGGACGCCACGGAGCCTGGCGAAAGGCCCAGGCGGGCAGGGCGCCGCTCCCCAGGCCGGCCTGCCCCTCCGAGCATCGGCCAGGGTCCCTCCGGCGGCTGTTCCCCGACAGGCCGGTGGGGGGCGCCGCAGGGGGCGAGGGCTGCAGTCCCCGTCGGATGCCGGCGAGCAGGAGCGGGACGGCCCGGGGCCAGGCGGGGCGGAGGCGGGCAGGGGGGAGCAGCGCCCCGGACGCGCCCCACCACCCGACGCCGCGGACCCCCACAGCGCCCTCCGCGGCGGGGACGCAAAGCCTCGCCCTTCCAGTCACTTCCCAGAGCCGCGGGACCGCACGGCCCCCTCGCCCTCTGTCCCCCGGGACCCGGGACCCGGGGCCCGAGCGCGGGGCCGAGCAGCGCCGCTCACCTCGCTCATCGCGGCGGCCGGACGGAGCGGGCGGCACGTGCGGGAGGCGGGGCCCTGGGGGCTGCGCGGCGACCGCGGCCGCTCGCCGGGCTCTGCGGCGGCGCCGCCCGACCGGGGAAGGAGGCAGAACCGGGAGCCGCCGCTCCGAGCCCGCGCCCCGCTCTCGGCGCTCGCTGCCCGCCCGGCGTGCGCTCCGCGGATCCCCTCCGAGCCCCGTCCGAGCCCGTCCTGTCGGCCGCTCCGCGCGCCGCCGCGGGCCCCGCTTTTTATGGTCGGCTCGGGCCCCGCCTCCAGCCCGACCAATAGGAGCTCCTCCTGCCGCCGAGTGACAGCCCCTCGCAGCCAATGGAGGCGGGCTCAGAGGTCTGCAGCATTTCCAACTAGGGTAAGACAGGCCGAGCGCGGGAAGGAGGGGCGCCTGTCGGGGGATGAGAGCTCCGAACGGAGAAGTAGCGGAGCAAAGAAGGAGGGAAGAGCGAAGGGAGGAGCGAGTGAGTCCGAGGAAGCGAAGCGAAGCTGGAAGGAAATCATAGGGTTCATGGGATGCAGGAAACAATGAATGAAAGTGCTAAAGCCAAGAGATGCTGCAGATTAGAGTTTAGTGATAGGATGGCAGTCTGCGCTAGACAACTGCGCAAGGGAGGAAGGAAAGGGGAGAGGGAGAGACGGAGAAACAGAGAGAGACAGAGAGAGAGAGACAGAGAGAGAGAGGGAGAGAGAAAGAGAGAGAGAGAGAGAGACAGAGAGAGACAGAGACAGAGATGGAGAGAGAGGGAGAGAGAGACAGAGAGAGAGAGACACCGAGAGAGACAGAGAGAGGAGGAGAGAGAGAGACACAGAGAAAGACAGAGACGGAGAGAGAGGGAGTGAGAGACAGAGGCGCAAGTGGACAGTACTCTGTGGAAAAGAACACGAAAATTGTGAAGTACCTGATTTGGAAGACCCTAGATCTTAGGAGTTGAAAGGCATTTAGGATTTATCAATCCTAACTCCCATATAATGGAAAAAAAAAAAACCTTTCCAACAAAATGACAATACCCTAGCATCCACCTAAACAGCTAATGAGCTCCTCCCCAAAGCTTATTTGTTCCATTTTAATCTGACTGTGCGCCTCCACTGTGCCAGGGATGGTTGTGAAGCTATAAAACAAGCAGACACATTTACTAACTTGCACATATTTTGTCTGAACCCAAAACTAGTCTGCCCAGGTGTAGGGAGCAGGTGTGAAAGAGGAGGCCCACAATCCAATCTAAAGAGATTATTTTTCAATAAGATGAAACTTTACTAAATAATTACTTTGTTTTATAAGTGTTAAGAAAAAAAAAACAGGTGCAGGCTTAACCAGTAACTACAAACTAAACTGTTAACAATAACAATTATGGTGAGATTGCAAGGAGAGCAGCAAAAACCTCAACCAACTGGAAAAACACCTTGATAATAAAGCAACCTAAAGTTCCGAGGGAAGAAAATATGATTAGAGCAAGATGAAAAGAAATAGAACACCTAGGTAAATGTCACGAACTTTATAACGACTTCAACTGTGATCCCTGTTTAGCTAAATATCTAGCTTTCCATTCTGCTTTAAGGAAACCCTTTCCATCCTTTTGCCCTGACTTCCAGCATTGTGAAACCCGTTAGCCTACTTACAGCTTCAGTCAACCAAAGCCAAACACTCTCAGCTTTAGCTGTTATGCCTTTTTGATAGTTTCTTTCATGGCCTGTAATAGCTGAGTCCTTAATAGCTGAGCTTCTCTCAGCAACCATTCATTCTTCTCAGCAACAGATTCAGGTTAAGACTTCAAATACCCTTTTTCTAGCTACACCCCCTGTTTGCAAGTTTTCTCTGCCAGGTATGAAACAGAGAAGATGGGGAAAAGATCATGTCTTTTCTCCCACCCCCCAGAGAGCCTCTGACTCTCACTTTCCAATGGGAATGTGGTTGCCTAAGTTACTGAGTCTCTAGGTAGCTCCCGCTCACTCAGCACCCTCCTCTTCTGGCTCCCCTACCTTTCTAATGAACAGCTAATTATCACTGAACCCATTTTTAGTGAAACAGACCTCTCCAAAGTGCTTCAACAGCTATGCAAAGATTGTAAACGGAATTCAAGATCTTAGCTCAGGGGTCAGCAAGCTTTTTCTGTAACAGCCAAAGAGTCAGTATTTTAGGTTTGGGGGCCTTAAGCGTTCTGTGGAAACTCCAAGTCTTCCATTATAGTTGGAAAGCACAGACAATATGTAAACATAGTGCTAATAAAACTATTTGTGGAAGCTAACGTGTGAATTTCGTATGATTTTCACATCCTATGAAAGATTCTTTTTCTTCTTTCAAGATTTTAATTTAGAAACCACTATTAGCTCAAAGGTTGTACAGAACAGGAAGCTGGCCAGATTTGGCTCACAGGCCATAAGCTGCCAACACCGGCTACAGATGATTAAATGGCCAAGTCACTACAGCAGTAAGTTGTATAGGAATACATAGTAATAGGTCAAAGAAGGACCAAAGCAGTCAAAAGCTTCCTGGGGGGAAATGGGGTTTGGGTTGGATGGAGAAAGAGAAGAAGGAGGAAAAGCTGGGTCTATCTGGCATATGGGTGATAAGAAAGCAATGATGAAAGAAGACTGAGGTTTATGATGGGTAAGTTGCAAATGTGTACGGGCCTTGAATATCAGAGTAAGGACTTTAAACCTGACCCTCATATGAACTGCATTTTTAGATTATTCTTGCAGGGGAAACACAGGACTGATTTGACAAGGGAAGAGCCAGAACAATTTGGGGATACTGCAGTTGTACTAAGTGCAAGAGTCTGTGTGTGTAGTGACAGTGACAGAAGAGAAGGGATGACATCAAGACACATAAAGCATAAAGAACCAGTAAGACTTGGTGACTAACAAGATTTAGGAGAACTCAAAGTGACTCTAGGAATTCAGGACCAGGAAATTGGGAAATTTCTTCAATTATTTGTTGGCTGTTAAGCACACATCATGGCCAGGACCTACGCTGGGTTTTGGGGAAAGCAGACCCACATGACAGAGAGCTTACAGTCCAGTAGGGGAGAGACGGTCGTCGGACGCAAAAGGGCAATATGGTTATAGGTGTCATGATAGGAGCCCGGGCAAGGGCAGTGGGCACCCAGAGAAAGGACTAGAAGGAGATTTAACCTGAACAGGCATCAGAAGAAACTACTAAGAATAGCAAGAGCCATGGAGCTAGGGTCGCAGGTCCCCATGCTGGATTGGGGATGACTGAGACCGGGAATGTAAAGTACTCTGTCAACTGCGGTGTTAAAACGTTAGCTGTTTTTACATTTTACCAGAGCCTTGTGAACAGATGAACTGTTAGGGAGGAACACAGATACAAAAGGTAGGAAGGTGGAAATTGAGCCTTAGAGAAAAGCCCATAGTTTTCCTTAACGTATAGGTTTAGGGAAAAAGCAGAGTCCAAAGAAAGAGAAAGGAAAAAGAATGGTTAGAAACAGAGGTGGAGAACCAGGAATGCATAAGATCACAGAGGCCAGTGAGAAAGAGTCTCAAAGACCATTTTGTTGTCAGGCAGGCAAAAGCAGTAGGGAGAATGATTGGGAGAAAAACAGAGAAAGCCCACTGAATTCGATGGGCCACAGGAGAGCACCTGCAAAGAATAAACCAGATTACACAGTGCAAAAGAAAGGAGGTAGCCTGAGACCTTCAGAGAAGTGTTTGTGCCAGAACCTGGGGGGCCAAGCAGGGGAGAGCAGGCCCAGTCTGGAAATTTGGCTCAGCGGACACCTGAGTGAGGTCAGCCGCACGTCAAGCACAAACATGGCAGGTAGCAACGGTTCAGACAGGAGTTAGAAATCAGACTGTAAGAGTAACGAGTGTCTGATCAGAGTCAGGACAGCAAACAATAATCAGCTAGGAAAGACAGCTGCCAAAGGGGGACAGAGGTGTGTCCAGGTGACACCACGGAACGCACGTGGCTGGAAAAGGCCTGGCACAAAGCAGACACCAGTTAAACATTTGAGGAATGAGTGAATGCGTTCACAAATGATAACGTGATGCCACATGGGAAGAGCATGTGTTGGGATCAGATTTTCATTCACTCCATAAGCATTTATTACATATGCCTGGAGTATACAAGACCCTAAGGATCCCAGACTGAAAGGTAGCTCTTGACTTTGACAACTCACAGTTGATTGACAGAGTCAGAAAGAAAGACAAGTGCTCCGCAGTGTGTGGGTGCTGCGACAAATGAGCATAGAGCTACAGCTCTGGCTCCCAGGCCCCCAGTGGGGACTGCCCGTGCTCAGGCCTGAAGGGCCCAGAGGACAGGAGGCCCGGGGAGGGCGTGTGTGGTGCTTCCAAGCAGACGGAATGCCAAGGGCAGATGTTTCGAGTGAGTGAGCACAGGCATCCAGGGAACCCTAGTCGCTTGGGCACGACTAGAGCCAAAATGTCATGTATTGGGGGGGAGGGGGGCTGCCACCTACTAGGCCAAAGTGATAAACAGGGGCCAGATCACAAAGCGGTTTGTGTGACTTGCTAAAGAGATTGGCTTTTATCCTGAAGGTGACGGGAAGCAAATGAAGAATTTTAAGCAGGGAAGAGACATGATTACATTTGCATTTTAGAAATAGCAGCAGCACAGAGGGTGGCTTGGAGGAGAGGCGGCTGCTTGCTGGGAAATGACAAGGGCCTGAGCTCCGCTAAGAGGAAGCGGGCAAGCACAGGTCAGGAGGCAGAAGCTACAGGGCATGACACCTCATTGCTTGCAGGGGGTGATGGCAAGCAAGGAGGCCCTGCCCGCATGTCTGTCTCAATCCTCCCACTCCCAGCAGGAGAGGCCGGTTTGTGACTCCACCATATCTGCTTTTCTGTACCTGGCTTCTTGAACTTCTCAGATTGCACCCTCTGCCTCAACTGCCTTCGATTTTCCCCTTGCTACCTCCTCATTATTCTTTAAAAATCAACTCAGTTGTCACCACTCCAGGAAGCTTTTCCTGCCTCCCCCTCAACACCCTTTTGCCAAAGCAGGGTTCGGCGGCCGTCTTCTGCGGTCTCAGAATGCCCTGTGCACCCTCAGTGTGTGACTGCTCTTCTTTATATCCATTTAAAGGTCTGTCTCCCCCACCAGCACGTTGAAACCCCATGAGGACAGCAGGGCAACTTATTCATCTTTTCATCCCTAGTGTCTTATACATAGCAGATTCTCAGTCAATATTTGCTGGTTGGATGTGTATGAATCCCAGCAAGCAAAGACACCAGCGGATGCACACACGCAAACATGCACACCACCTCCCAGGCCAGATCTAAGCACCTGTGCTCTCTGGAACTCAGCTTATTTCAAAATGCAGCATGTTATGCATAGTTGGAAGCTGTGCCACCCGACAACAAGGGCTCCCAGCTCATTCTGGGGATGCAGATAAGGCGCTTAACTCAGGCTCTTCTCTGTCTCTCTCGGTGTGTTTTTATGTCTTTAGCCTGTACTTGGGTTTCTAACTCTTCAACAACATTAATTATAAGTTAACTCATAACTGGAGAAGCAGAAGACATGACAGAAAAAAAAAAAGGAAAATGTTTATTTCCAGTGGCAGAAGACTGTGTAAGTGCAGAAGCAGCAAACACCCAGAGATAACCGCAGTGACAAGGGCCTTTCACACTGGAAGACAGACCTGGACTTCATTCCAGTGTGTGTGGAATCAGACTCGTAGCCCACATGTTGCCCATCCCCGAAACATCCAAACAGCTTTCAAAATTTCTTGTTCTGTTCATAGATGTTGGAAAATATATATATATATATATATATATATATATATATATTTTTTTTTTTTACACTGGCGAAAGTGCCCCAGTGTCAATGCAGCACAGACAACCCCAGGGAAGGCTCTTCTTGACTCTCAAGCTTATTCATTAGACAAGACTGGGGACATAATTTGCGGGGCCCACTGAGAAATGAAAATGCAGAGCCCCTTCTCCCAAAATCACTAAGAATTTCAAGAGAGGAACATCAGTGCACTAAACCAAGCCCGAGACCCCTTTCAGGGCAGGGCCTCAGGTGACTGCACAGGTCACAAGCCCCTGCAGCCCGCCTGCCAAAGGAGCCCCCAAATCAAGGCCTGATTTGACTGCGTTAGAAGCTACGCCTGTTCTCAGCCCTCCCTAGTGAGGGCGTGGGACCTCTTCCAGCTCTTTTCAGGGCCCTTCCTTAGACCCCCGTCTCTAAGACCCTTCATTTGGGAGCCTTGTGTAGCTTTACACCTATTCTGTTACTTTCTGTTACTATCGACATTCTGCTCGTGAAAGGTGTGCTGTCTTCCCCTCTCTTCCCCACTCATTCAGGACCCACACACAGAGGGGGCTGCAGATCTAGCCCGGAGCTCAGCAGTAGGGAAAATCGCCATGGGTCTGATTGGGGGCAGCTCCTAATAGGTCATGAGGTCCCGCCCACCAGGGTCCCTCCCCATGTGCCGGCAATCAGCACCCTGGGCATGCTGGGAATGCCTGCCAGCCAGGCCTTTGCCCTGGGTCCAGAGTCTGTGCCCTACCTAGGCAGTCTCTGAGGACAGGAGGCCACACGCACAGAAGTTCCTCGTTGTCCAGGTACCAAGGGCCGGAATCCCTAACCCCAGACATGGGCAGCACCCGAGGCCAAGGGGAAAGCAGGGGCAGAGTGGGAGTTTGGGGACAGGCCTCCCACACCAGATTCTGTGGCCTGCAGGTGACATGCTGCCTGAGAGAGGCAGGTAGGAAATCTATGGGGGCCGGAGACTAAAAGCAATAGAGATAAGACTGGGGGTCAAGCTCAGGGCAGATTCGGGAAGACCCTCTGCAGAAGGGGGAGAAGATGGTGAAGGGCGGCCCAGAGCTGACTGCTAACCCTCCCACATTCAGGGGCCTGTGACGGCCACCCCGCCTGACGCCATGGCCAGTGAGGAAGACAAGCCGAGGAGCTGTGTGGTATGCGGGGACCGAGCCACAGGCTACCACTTCCATGCCCTGACTTGTGAGGGCTGCAAGGGTTTCTTCAGGTGAGAGCCTGCTCCCCAACAGAACGGCCCCCCACTGCCTGCCGGCTGTTAGCCGGTCACGCGCCCGAGCTCGTGCAGCTCCATTCCTGCTGCACCCTGAGCCTCCTGCCCTGTGTTCAGCTCACTACGTCTTGCCAACCTCAGCACTGTATAAACAGGTGGCGCAATAACAGTCGGAAGTCGAGTGTATGTCCCATGGACACAACCCTCAGTCAAGAGCAGTTATGTGTCCTCTCTGCCCACAACGCCCCAAGCTGGGGCTGTCAGCCAGGCCTTCCTGAGTGGTCCAGGGCCCCACTGACATGCTTCAGGGTGTTGTGCCCTGTCCACGCTCAGGGACCTCTGGACACAGCTGAGATTAGCCCATGTCACCATGGATCTTTGAGCATGTCACCACAGCCCCTCACATAGCCACCCGTCCACTGCCATCCCTGACCCTCATAGCATCTGTCTCTCACAGACGAACAGTTCACAAAAGCACTGGTCTCAGCTGCCCCTTTGCCGGAAGCTGTAAGGTCAACAAGGCCCAGAGGCGGCACTGCCCAGCCTGCAGGTTGCGGAAGTGCCTCGATGTTGGCATGAAGAAGGAAAGTGAGTCGGGCCTTCCCACCTGAGCCCAGGCTGGGCCTGCACCCTCCCTGTCCCACACAGCGGGCAGAGCTCCATTGTGTTAGAAATCCCAGCCACACTGCCTGGTGCCACCCTCAGATGCACCTGACTGTCCTCGGGCCCTCTGTACTTGCAGTGGCCATTCCTTCCATAGACACCTGGCTTGCTTTTTCTCTTGTCTCTCAAGTGCAGTACCTGTCACTTAGTAGGTACTTGATAACTGTTGAATTAAGGGCTGAATGCTTTTTCCATGTGCCAGGTAGTGAGGTTATGCTCCCAACAGACAGTGTAATGGGGCGCACACAAGTCCACTCATCCAGGTTTACTCCGCTAAAAAGTTAAGAATGTCAGGATTCAAGCTCAACCGTCTGACTCCCAAGCCTCTACTTTTCCCATGACATACTACTTGTCACATGGAGCCGTGGAAACTGTAGAAGTTAAACAGTTTGGGTTGAAATTCAATCTACATCCCTTAAGTGTTTTGTGATGACCTGTCACTGGAATCTCAGCCTGTTTATGTTTCTGAAAACTATGGGTAACACCTACCCTGCCTACATGTAGGGCTAAACTCCTGAGATAGACCCCCAGAACCTCTGCAGTGTTGATGCTATGCGCACGTGGGTACTGCTTCAGGCATCCAGAGCCCGCCCTCTTCCATGGCTCCCCAGAAGCCAAAGCGCCTCACTCGGTTCCCGCTGCACTCTCCACGCTCCCTGCCCCCAGCCCAGTGCACTGCTTTCTGTGGCCTTGCCCCATGGGCCGGGGAACTGGACAGGATCCCAGCACCTGGGGCCACAGCCAAGCCCACAGAGGCCAAGGGAAGTCTTCCTCCCGCACCCTTCATGGTGCAGTGTGTGCGGGGTCCCCCCAGGGGCTGGCTCGGAGAGGTGCTCTCTGCTGGCCTCAACAGCTGTGTCACATCTCCTTCCTGGGCACAGTGATCCTGTCTGCAGAAGCTCTGGCCCTACGACGGGCAAAGCAGGCCCAGCGGGGGGCACGTCAGGCAGCTGAGCAGCTGAGTCAGGAGCAGAGAGCACTGATCCAGACACTGTTGGGGGCCCACAGCCGCCACATGGGCTCCATGTTCCACCAGTTTGTGCTGTTCAGGGTGAGGCTTCCGGGACTATGGCAGGAATGTGGCCCAAAGGGTGCCCAGGAGGCTGGCCTAAGGGAGGGGCCATGTGGCACACACCAATCAGAGGATGGAACTTGTCCAGAGCCCTTGAGATGAGGCTGGACAGACCACAGGAGCCCGGGCCTCGGGCTGTGGCCTCACTAGGTTCTGGCCCCCACAGCCCCCAGAGCACCTGTTCACCCACCAGCTGCGCTCTCCCAGCCTGGTCCCCGTGCAGCCACTGCTCAGGCACTTTGCAGACATCAACACGTTCATGGTGCAGCAAGTGGTCAAGTTCACCAAGGACCTGCCCATCTTCCGGTGTGTGCCCTCCCCTTGCCTTTCAGGAAGAAAATGCTCCAGTAAATTCTAATCCCACCACCACCAAACAACAAGGTCACCCAGTAAACCAGCCCATCCCTCTGCCTGTCCCAGAGGCAGGCCTTGTCTCGCAGTCCCAGTGGAGGCTCCCGTCTCCTCTCAGAAGTTCAGGCCTGAGTCCGTGTTGCCCTGCCCCTGCCTCTGCAGGTCCCTGCCCTTGGAGGACCAGATCTCCCTCCTCAAGGGAGCCGCTATAGAAATCTGTCACATTGCACTCAACACCACGTTCTGCAGGCAAACGCAGCACTTCCTCTGTGGGCCTCTTCGCTACACAATAGAAGACGGAGCCCATGGTGAGACAGTGCTGGACAGTAGTAGCCTGTCCTTGTAGTGTGGCAGGTGGCAAGGCAGCCCGGGGCCCCTAAGCCTGTCTCTCCCACAGTGGGGTTCCAGAAAGAGTTCTTAGAGCTGCTCTTTGGCTTCCACGCGGCCCTGAGGCGACTGCAGCTCCAGGAGCCCGAGTACGCACTCTTGGCCGCCATGGCTCTCTTCTCGCCAGGTGAGCACCTCCAAAGCCCACAAGCTTTGGATCTAACTGCTCTCCCCAAACTCCCAGCTCTGTGGAGCCATTCATCCCAGGTCTCTTAGCCGTCAAGTCCGTGGAATGGGGCTATCCAGCCTCAGCTGCCTGGGGCTCTGAGCAGCCCCCCAACTTGCCCCTCCCTGCTGCCTCTCTCACAGACCGGCCAGGGGTCACCCGGAGGGAGGAGATTGAGCAGCTGCAAGAGGAGATGGCACTGACTCTGCAGAGCTACATCAAAGGCCAGCAGCCAAGGGATCGGGATCGGTATGGGGACACTGGGGCCTTGGAGGAAGGGGCCTGGGAGCCACTGAGCGTAAGACGAGGCTTCTACTATCCTTTCCTTTGGGAACCCAGGTCCCTGGGGGGGGGGGGGAGTCCTTCCCTCCGTTCTCATCCAGTTGCAGCACCCCAATTGCTCCTATTGCTGTTTCATCTCACTTTTTCCAGATGTTTTTATTCAGTAGAGATGCAAATGACAGCATTCCTGAGTGATGACACCGTCCCTCACCCACCCACCTTCTCCAGCCCAAAGGCCCTTTCAAGGGCCTCCCTGCCTCTCCATCTCCACTGGGCCAATTCCTTCCATTTCTCGCTCCCCTCGACATGATTCACGGCTTCATGGCCACAGCCGGTCCCTGGGACAGCAGTCCATGACCGCTCCAGGCTCTGAGGTGTGGCCCACATCTGCTCTCGCTCGTGCCTCAACGGGCCAGTCTGGCCTGAAGAGGGCGCTTTAGACACAGAACACGCCCACCTTCTAGAACCTGCTTGAGGCCAGACCTTCACAACCCACACAGCCGAAGTTCTGGCCAAGTCTGGGCTTTCTTCATACATGGCCCTCAGAGCTCATGGGAAGAGAAGACAGTGTCAGACAGGCGCCCCTGGGGGACCTTTGGGATCTCTGACAAATCTGCCACAGTGGAACATCCTTTTCTCTAGAGTTCAGACCTAGCTTCACTGAGGCAGTTCAGGGGCTCGGGGCCTCAGGACGGGACTCTCGGCTGCCTTATTTCCCTCTGCTTTCCCTGGTGACCGCGTGGTGACCGTGCCACTTCCTCCTCCAAAGGTTTCTGTATGCGAAGCTGCTGGGCCTGTTGGCTGAGCTCCGAAGCATTAACAGTGCGTATGGACACCAGCTCCAGCACGTGCAGGGGCTGTCCGCCATGATGCCTCTGCTCAAGGAGGTCTGCAGCTGAGGCCCCGCCGCCTGGACACACTGGACTGCAAAGGGCAGCTGCTGGGCCAGAGGCTGGCACTGCAGAAAGGGAGCCCAGTGGTTGCAATGAAAGGCTAAAGCAATAACTGCCTGTCCATGCAGTCATGGGGGGTGGGGGTGGGGTGACTGTGGGGGTAAAGCTCCAGAGCACAGTGTCTGGAGGAGGACGCCCTTCTGGGAGGGGTGGCCCTGTGTTCTGAGGTCAAAGAATCTTTCCCAGCCTTGGAACGCTCTGGGATGGAAAACAGGATGGGGAACTAGCCCCATGCAGGCTTTTCTGCTTGGAAGAGGAAGAGGTGAGGAGCTTAATCCATGGAGAAATGAAGACAGGGGAGAGTGAAGGGAGGCAGCTCAGCCGGACTTCTCCCCTGTCCAGAGCCACGAGCATGGAAAGGTGATGCTGGGGTTGGTGGCAGAGGGTTAGCCTCCAACCACTGCCTCATCAGCTCCCCTGTGGCAGCTCCAGCTCTGAGGAGGGCACGGTCCTGTCCCCCACTCTGCTCCTGGGACCCAGAGGTCACCCTGCGAGGTGGGCTCGGGAGAGGGGCCTAGTCTCTGGCCGTGCAGCGGCTGCAGCTGCTGGGGCTCTGGGACGAACTCAGCCCACAGTGACGCTGAAGCCACAGTGGGATCTGTTACGCCAGTGGTTGAGGAAGGCTCCGAGGGCCAGGGTGACGGGCAGGGGGGGCATCTTCTTCTCCAGCACAGCACCCACACACCAGTTACTGTCCACCAGGCCTGTGGGGAAGAATGCGGACGAGGCAGTTCACGGGGTTGGAGGAAGGCGTCACAGAAGCAAAGGGGCCCACCACACCTCCCGATGTCACCCTAACGACCCTCACCTCTAAACACCATGTTGGCCTGGGGCAGAGTCAGGTGGTAACCAAAGGAGAAGGTGGTGTCTTGTAGCCTTGTGTTTGCCTCAAACTCCACTCCAACCTGAACCTGAGAACCAGCGGCAAGAATGGGAAAGGGGTTTGTCTCAGTGAAGACTGGAGGGGTCCCGACAGGGCTCAGCAGAGGGGTTCAGCATGCATGAAGTAAATGTGTGTGAAGTGTGGGTAGCAAGAACGGCGGTCAGCAGGGCCTGTGAGGGGGGGGGACGTTCACGGCTGCCCGCTGGGTGGGAGATGGGGTCAGCAGTCTCACCTGCTCATTTGCCCTGTGGTAATAACTTGCATGGGCCCCGCCCGATCCCACATTCAATGTAGCTACCCAGTGTACAGCTGCAAAAATCGAAGTGCAGGAGAAAAGGCGCGTCACTGCAGGAGGCCACAGGCCAGGAAGCCCAGCCGCGGCCAGAACTCCCCCACCCCACCACGATTCCTCCTCAGCCCATACCCGAGTACTTCCCAGCCAGGGTCAAGATGGCCCCCTCTTCGCCTGGCCGCCGGTGGTACACTAACTCTCCTCCCAACACCAGCCGATGAGTGAGGCTCTGCAGGAAGTGAGCGACCATGATCACTGGGAGTAGGAGACATGGAGTCAGTTCTCGAGACAAAGTGCAGAAGCCCCTCACCGCCCCCACCCCAGCCTGCCCAAGAGGGTTCTTTTCTAATCCCTAAACTGTACAGATGACCAAGAGGCACAGCCAACATAAGCAAGTGGGCGGCCAGCATAAAAAGAGCCCGGTCCCAACTGCTCACCCGACTCCCCGATCAGGTCAGGGTTTCCTAGGGTCAGAGTGGCTGTGTAGTCATCGCCCCGATACTCGCCATCAAACTGCCACGTCAGGAACTTGGACTGCTGTGTCTGGGGAGGGAGAGCAAGAAGTGACGTCTCCCTCCCTCTCTGCCATCACTACTGCCTCTGCTCCTCTCCCTGGAGCCTCAGGACACTCAGGGAGGAGACACAGGGAACGAATGCTTCAGTGGGTGGAGGGAGGCAGGAGCCTTGGGTCACCTGGAAGACCGCCTTAGCTCGGAGCCGCTCTGCCAAGAGGACCAGGACCTGGGCGTTGAGGCTGCCACTGCTGTCCAAATCCCCTACCACCGTGGGGAACACCTGTTGACCAGAAAGCAGAGACAGGAAGACTAAGTGGGTGGCCCCACTCTGCCCAAATGCAAACCCTATACGCTTTCTTGACCGGTACCCAGCGCCCCCTAGTGGAGCCACAAAGAAAAACTCCCGCCCATCACCCATAAATGTGTCCCCACCCCTCCCCTCTCCCATTCAGAAGACACCCAGAGAAGCAGGGAGGTACCCTGCCCATTCTTCCCCAGAACACACACATTTCCTCCTCCTCTGCACCCGGGTCCCAGGTGTGTGGAGCCCTCACCTCCGTGGGGCTAAGGTGCCAGTCCCCTGCATAGGCCGCATGGAGGTGATAGCCGGGCAGCCCCAGGGCACTCATGTGCACAGTGTGGGCCACCTGAGGAGAGAGAGAGAGACCTCCTGCTCCACTCGGGCTCCCATCCCACCCTGTAGCCTCCCCCCCATCCCGAAGGCCTTCTAAAAACCCCAAATATCCCAACATATACAGGAGGTCACCTGATTCAAGGCAACAAGTCCCACAGACAAGGGAGGTAAGGAGAGCCCCCCGTCCTCCCTGCTCTGTCCCATAGCGCCTGGCCAAGGTGGGGTACAAAGGAGAAGAGGATGGGGACAGGCAGGAGGAACAGCGAGGAGGGGCCAGGGAAGTGGGAGCACCTGGAAATGGCTGCTCAGAACCTTGTTGACGACGAGCTTCACTCCCTCCATCTGCGCTGGGAATACGTCTGAACGGGGGGTCGGGTGGGCGAGGAATGAACACAGACAAGGAGCCCTTTCCCCAAGGAGCGCTCTCCCCTCCCAACCCCGCAGAAAGCGCTGTGGAGGAGCTGACCTCCTTCAAGTCCTGCCACCAAACGCTCCACCCCGTTCCAGCCTCTGACCCTCCCCGGGACTGGATGCCCCTCTCCTGCCCCCATCACTGGACACCCAGCAGCCCAGACCCTGCCTCCTCTGCCCCTTCCCCTCGGGACACCCACATGCCAAGCTCTCACCTTTGCATAGCCGGTGCAGCTCATCGAAGCTCCCGGGATTGGGCAGCGGCTCCTCGCGACGGGGGCCCCGGCGGTGCAAAGCCCCCGTCGGTGCCAGGCCCAGCGTGTTCCCCATTTCAGTCCCGCGGGCGGGGAGGGGCCGGGGTGCGCCTGGGAACGGACGCTGCTCCTCTCTCTACCCACCACGGGCGCCACCCCCCATCATCCGGCTCCCGAGTCCCAGAAACTTCCACATGGTCCAACGCCAGGCCTGGAAAGGGAAGAGCGGGGGAGAGGGCACCGGCGGGGAGACTGAAGCCCAGGCACAGCCCCTTCCCATTTCTGATCCCTCACCCCACCTGTCACCCCCGTCTCCTACCCCATTCTGCACCCCTCGCCCCACCAGAGACCTCACCCGGCTTCCTAGGCTTCCTACTCTTCATTCCTGGGCCCCAAGGCGAGACTTGCAACGGAGCAGAGCCCTTACCGTCTCAGACCATCCTGCCGCCCCTTTCCCCCCGGCACACCCCGGTCATCTTGGTGGGGGCAGCCATCTTGAGTGATGGCAGAACTGCGGCTTCACGCTGCATTCTCAGCGTGGTCGTGGACGCCATCTTGGGACCGGGCAAAAAAAGCTTCCGGAGACCCGACCTTCCCTTGATTGGGCCCTGCCCAATCGATTAAAAAAAAAAAGAAAAAGAAAAAGAAAGCGGCCTCGATCTCCCTGGGGCCAACGGGAGAGGAGGAAGCAGAGGAGAGGCAGGCTCGCGTCCAGAGAGCCCCCGCCCCAGCGCTGCAGAGCCGGGCGGGGCCCGATGGCAGCTCCCGAGACTGACTGACTCTGTGGGTGCCGGCCGTAGCCTCTTCAAGGTCGGGGGAACCAGGGAGCCTCCGGGACACCACGCCGCCTGGACACTTGCCGTTTGAGAAGCGTGGCGGAGGGAACGACTGGGAGGACTTGTTTCCTAGCCTGTTTGACATCGCCCCTCGGCGCCCGCACCCCACCAGCCCTGGGGCCTCCCCCTCGCAGACCCCACAGTGCACCGCAGATGCATCGCACAGCCCCCCCCCAGGACGCGGGCCCACACGTCCCTCCTAGGGGCCCACACCGCCCCAAGTCCCTCTGTCCTCTCGGAATGGGAACGGGCGTGCGGGTTTGGGGCTGGAGCAGAGGCTGCAGACTGAGTCCCAGAACTGCTCCCCGAAATGGCTGCCCCCTGGGGCTAACCCTTCTTTCCCTGATTCCCCAGGCAGAGCTGGCGAATCAAGTCTCATGGCCCCCGGCCGTCTGCGCTGTGCGCTCCTCTCCAGAGACTGCCAGCCCAGCGCCTTCCAGTGCTGGGGGTTGGGGGTGGGGGGCTCACGGAAGTCTGGGCGCTGGTCGCCTCCCTCATTGGCCCCCAGGAATGCCCTACGCACACCCTGAGGGTGGAAGGGTGAGAGCTCAATGCTTTTGGTATCTATTTGGCTGACTTCACCCAAATGCCTTGGGCCTGGAGAATGTACCTCCCTCCCTCCCGATCCGCTGGGGCCTTGGTCAGAGGGACACCATGGGCCCTGCTGACTCACGTTGCCTGACAACCACCTAGAACTGATAAGGTGATCCCATGACAAGGGACCTTCGACCTTTATCCTTTCACCGTAACCTCTCTTCCTGCCAGAGCCTTCCAAGGGGACAGGCGAGGGCAGAGGCTGCTTTGTTTTGTTGGGGGTAGAGCTTGCTCATTGGTCAACACACTGGAGGTCATCCTGGGCTCCATGTCTTCTCCTCTCGTCACACATTAACTCAGGACTGAGTCAATCACACCGCCCTCTGGCCCTCACCCCTGCCCCTAATTTCCACCCCTTTCCCCTTTCTTCTGTTCCCCAATACCTTTCTGCCAAGTTGCAGTGAAGGGGGGTAGGGTTGGGGAGATGAGACCTACCCATGATGGGGCCAAGTGTCCAAGGGCTGAGGGCCTCATATGTCAGAGCTTTTCAGAGAAAAACTAGTGCTGCAGCTTCCTGCGCCGCACACCCCAAAAGGGCGCACCTCAGATAGGCCTGGAGCCCCTGGGCCTCCACTCAAGCCTGTATGCCTGCCCCCCACCCCGTCACCATGTGGCCCCCACGTACTTGTCCCCTCCTCCCCCAGCTCTCCAGTTTGTTTACTCCAACATGGCCCCTGCCCCACCGGGTCCCTCACGGTTCTCGTCAGCTGACAGGGGGTGGGGAAGCAGACACGTATATAGCCTGTCTCCCTAGCCAGGCCAGGCCCAGACGCCAAGGACAGAGGCACTGACCAGGTAAGCCGAGGGAGCACCAGTGGTGGGCAGCATCCAAAAAGGACCAGGCTTCATTTGTGGGGAGGGAGAGAGTCACGTTGGTGTGGGCACCCAGGTACAGGTCCCTGGGGAGGGGCTGAGGCCCATTTCGCTTCGGTGTCCTCCCCTGCCCCCAGCTGTTCCCAGGCCACCTTCCCCACCGCTACCATCATGAAGCTGCTTGCGGTCACTGTGCTGCTCCTCACCATCTGCAGCCTTGAAGGTGGGTGTGATATGGACTGGGGGCCAGAGGAGAAGGTGCTAGGGCTCCTAGCTGCCCATCTGTTAGCTCTCCTGCGCCCAGGTCTGGCAACCGGAGGGTTCAAGAGGAAGACCGCCCCTCTGTACAGCCCAGAAAGCCCTCCAAGACCTGGGGCTGGAGACCTGTTTGGGGAGGGCTATGAGCTGGGGCTGGGCACTGCAGAGGGTGGCAGGACGGCAGGACCGGCGGTTGGGGCCCAGCTGAGATGACGCATATGTGTGTGTGCAGGGGCTTTGGTCCGCAGACAGGCGGAGGAGCAGGGTCTGCAGAGCCTATTCTCCCAGTACTTCCAGACCATGGCCGACTATGGCAAGGAGCTGGTGGAAAAGGCCAACGGCTTGGAGCTCCAGGTCCAGGCCCAGTGAGTCTCAGCAAGGGGCCAGGGGCTGTGTGGGGGAAGGAGACAAGATGGCGATCCCACAGAAGACAGAGCTCGGGTGGGACTCCGGGAGGATGAGGTGAAACCAGAGAAAACAATTGCCTCGTCACCCCTAGAGCCAGGGGCTTCGTGAACAGATGGGCCCCAGGAGCTGGGCTTTGAGTTTGTCTCTAGGGTGCATCCGCTCCCAATGGAGGGCTTGCCTTCCCTCCTAGGAGCTGTGCCAGGCCAGCAAGGACCAGGCACTAGAGTCTGGGGACTTGGGTATCACCTCCACCACCACCAAGGCCCTGCCCATGCCTCGGGTCCCTCACACTGACCTCTGACCCTTCACATATCCAGGGCTTACTTGAACAAGACACAGGAGCAGCTGACACCCCTGGTCAAGAAGGCTGGAAGTGACCTGATGCACTTCTTGGGTTACTTCGTGGACTTCAATACACAGCCGGAGGCCCGCTGAGGGGTCCACTGTCTGTCATTCCCAGCTGGCCCCAAGAACACCCACTGGCCAGGCCTAGAGCCCCTTTCCTCCCCACTCCTTGTTTCCACAATAAATATTAAAGGAGTCAAGTGGTGTTGAGGACTTGGAGGAGGGGCGGGGGAGGACGGGGGACAAAGAGAAATCCAGTAGGAGAGGGGCTTGGATGAGAAGGGGTTGAAGACACAGATGTGGGAAGCGACAGGGTGGGCACCGTGATTCTTCTCCAAACCCAAGGAGTCTGCAGGCCTGGGACTGGCTCTGCCCTGGGGACCAGAGAGCCTTCGCTCTGGAGAGGAGCTGTGCCAGGCATGAAAAATTCATGAACTAAACCGCTGCACTCGTGCAGGTCGCAGGAGATGAGGCTCCCTCGGAGTTGCCTCCTGACCACTGTATAAGGAGGAGAGAGCTTCCAGAAGGGGAGCCCACAGGTGCCGCCCAACACCCCACGCCCACCCCGGACACCACCTTCCCTTCCCAGCCAGGGGAACTCGGCTCCCTCACCCTACAGTAGAAGACAGGCACTCGCTCTCTGCGCATATTATCTGGGTGCCTGGTAGCCATCTGAGAGCTTGAAACTAGCAGACCTGACAGTTAAAGGCCTGGCAGGCCTCCCACTTGGTCTCCTAGAGACTGTGGGAGCCGTGCCACCTGCATGCAATCCCAGTGGAATGGCATTGAGCTGGGCTGATGTGGGAGGCTCAGTCCCAAAACTAGGGCAAGGGAAGCTGGCATTTCCCGGTAAAAGTTATCGCTGCCTTACCACTAACAGCTACTTCCCTACCCTGACTCAAGTCTCGTATGTGGTCTAACACCACCTTCCCCGGACACCAGACGTGGCTCCAATGCCTTCTGCGTGTTGATGGACCTTCAGTCTGGCCCTCAGGACTGTTGCCACTTAGGACCACCTTCTTCCCCTTTCCCAGCATGTTGTTTTCTCTTGTGGCAAAACGTGGGGACAAAGAGATGTCAATCTATCACTTGCAAGATGACCTTGGACAGGTGAAGCTTCAAAGAGCCTGACTCCCCACAGGGTTAGTGAGAGGATCAAATGGTACAAGGAGCTGGAAAAACATACTGCAGAGTGCTAGTCACTATAAGTGGGGTACGCTCTGCACGGCGGAGGTGGGGAGGTGGCTGGGGTGAGCTTGGGACTGGGGACCCATTGTGACAGAGCTGCTGGGTTGCAGGCAGAACTGACAGCCTGAGCACTCCTTCCAGAAATCTGGCTTCCTAGCAGAGCTGGAAGCAGGACAGGCGCAGCTCAAGGGCTCTTTAGCCGTCCCCGCACACCCGGAGGTGCTGGCCTTCCCTCTGGACCTGGCTTGTTCCCCTTTGCCTTACCCACCTCCAAGCCCTACCTGGCCCGATAAGGTCCCTCTTGCCCAGAGTCCACTGAGAACTCAGTTCTCATAACACCTTCTTTTAGGAGCATCACACAAGCCTTCACACACCATCCGTCCTGCAAGTGTGGCTTTCCAGCCAGGCTAGCTAAAGCCCGTGGACACTCGGATCTGGTCACTCTTTGGGGCTGGATGGCCAGAGGTCGTTACCTAGGTGCGAATGTCTGCGCATGTGCCTAGAGTCCCAGTAGGGACTGCCCCATGCTAGGGGACCGGGCTCAGGGGCTTGTCCTGCCCTCAAGCGGTGTTTGTCTCACGAGGCCATGAGCTCTGCAAGGCTGGCAGCAGAGGTGGCCTTACCTGGGGGCAGCTCGGTGTCCCCACATCTGGTAGAGGCCACACAGAGGCAGGGCAAGTGATCGAGGCACGGGGTCCAGTGTGTGGCGGCTTTATTGGTGGTATTCCGTCTCCATCACTCAGGGGGTTGAAATTGGAGAAGCGGAGGGTGTGCTCAGGGTGAGCCTAGAGCACAACCATAGTGACCAGCACCTCAGCACAGGTTTCTGGCAGGGACGCGGAGCCTCTGGGGTCCAGTCATGGGGGCGTAGCGTCAGCATGAGTAAGTCAGCGGGCACGAATAGTGGCAGACGTGTATGGTGCCAGCCACAGGGGCTGGGAGGGCATGGTCAAGGGCATCTGTTCCAGTTACTGTGGCGGCTTCTCGTGCTTCAGGGTCTCGTATGTCTCCTGGTTGCGGGTGCTCAGGCCCTGGAGTGCAGGTCAGGAGGTCAGGAGGTCAAGAGGTGAGGCGCCCCCAGGCTCCCACACAGCCCGCAGACCTCCCGAAGGGCGCTAAGAACCCCCCTCCTCCGCTGAGTGCCTGCCCTCTGCTGAGGGTGGGCAGCTTCACTCACCGTGTAAATGCCATCTGACTTCTGTGGAGGCAAAGGGCAAGGCGTTAGAGACTCACACCCCCTCAGGGCCCCTCGGTGTGTCCCCACCCACGGCCAAGGGCACATGCCAGGACACTGGGGCACAAACGCTCACTTGCCCACATGGCTACAAACACACATATCCACACAGCATGCGACTCTCACGGGCTCATCACTCATCGTCACTAGGCTTTACTCTTCCTTGTCACCTGCTGAGTATTTTACTTGTGACTAAGCTATGTGGCAGGGTGGTAAGGGGAGGAAAAGGGCACCCAGAGCTTGTGCAGATCAGCATCTCAGACTCGTGCCCTCCCAGGGGCCACAGATCCCAAGGCTAAAGCCCCAGAAGGGCCGAGTCTGCAAAATTGTGGACAGCCAGGTGTGGGGTCCTTACCTCACAGGATACTGCCGCCTTCCGCACCTGGATCTGGAGCAGAGGACAGGTCATTAGCAAGGGCCCATCCCCATCCCTGCAAACTCATGGGCACCCTTCTGATCCGTTCCCTCCCCCCTCTGCCCTCGAAGCCATGCCACCCCCGCCCACCCACCCTGCAGCCCTCGCCAGCAGCCAGCCTGACCTTGAGTCGACAGTAGAGCACAGTGAGGACAATGCCGTACACAAACAAGATGGAATCCAGGATGTAGCAGAGCTGAGGCTCTGCCAGGGCGGCTGAGGAGACAGAGCGTGCCTGTGGGGTCGGGCACCTCACCTCCCCGGAGCCCTCGCCCACCCTCCCTGCTGTCCCTCGCCAGGAGGGCCGTTGTGTCAGGACTGACACGCAGCCTGAGCTTCAGCACTGTGAGCTCCTGGGTCACCACCGAACAATTCACAGCCCTCAGGGGACCCATCTGAGTTCACTGGGCAGAGACCAAAACCTCAGCCCGGAGGAGGAGGCAGTGACAAACTTCAGTGAAGAAACCACAGGAGTGTCTCTGCTAAGTCCTGTGACCTGCGGCTGAGAGCTGGACAGGAAGGATGTGAGCTGGGGATGGGCGGGAAGGCAATTACTCCATTATTGGCCATCTGCTCAGCCTGTTCCTGCCCCTCCAGACACAAGGGAGAAAACACAAGGCTTCTGCTTTCCCGGGCCTCAGGGATGCGCCCGGCGCAGCATGCAGGGCTCCAGGGAATGACAGCTGTCCCACTGTCTGTCGCAGAGACTCTGTGGGGACTCTGCTGTTACTCACCCTGGGCCACTGAGAGAGGAAGTTTGTGCAACTAAAAAAAATCACACACGGCCTGAGTTCCCATCCACCTCATCTGCTCGGCCCTATGGGAAGGGCTCCCAGGTGAGTGACCGGTACTCGAGTAGCCCTTTCACACGTGATGCTACGCGAACCTGAAGACACCCTGTGAGGGAAATGCCATCACCTCCATATGGATGACGACACCAGGACTCAGGGAAGCAGAGCTCCGTGGCAGAACCCACAGGCAAGTCCAGGCTTTTCTGCTTTCAAAGTGTGTGCCCCTCCTACGGCTCTCGGTGGCCCTGCCCCTCGTCTCCTGGTGGCAGACTGGACACTCACATACTTCTTCCCTCCACCTTCACAGCTGGGCTGGTACAAGTCCTCTCGATTTCTTTCAATTCCCCCAATTTCTTCAAGTTTCCCTAACCCCCTCCTCCCCAAGCCCCAGCTGCAACCATCCGTCTTCAAAACACGTTCTCACAAGACACTCGAGAGCAACAAGTGCGAGTTCATGAACGCCGACTGCAGCCTGAGAACGGCTACGATCTTCCCGTCGTCGCCTCCGTTTCCCCACCAGTGCTCAGTCCCTGGAATTGTGTGCCGCCTGCCCCACGCTAGCTGCTGACAAGTGCGTGCGATGACCCACCGAAGCAGCCATCGCGTCTGCCTGCCTGTGCCTCACTCCCAGGCACAAGGACAAGGACTTTATAAACACAACCAGCTTGACACCAGCTCCCAGCGGAGAGCAAAGGCACCCCACAGGAAACGCAGCTTTTCCCAAACCAGCTTTTACGTCACACACCGCCCTCCCCTGCCGACTGAAGCCTTAGGTATACACCAATCCTGAAAAAGTCAGAGGGGGCACAAAAGGAGGGAGCTACGATTCGTGTCCTCATGGGGACCACATGGGACCAACCTCAGGGTCTCTGCCCAGCCGCCCACCTTCCTGCCTCGGCCCCAGACACATGCCCTTGGCTCCCACCCTCACCGGATCCTCTCACCTGCTTGTTCAGCCAGAAGGAGCAAGACAAAGGCCACTGCTGGACGCATCCTGGGCAGGATGTGTGGGCCGCGAGTGGGGATCGGACGCTGTGAGGGCACTGCGCGGCTGTGCTCAGCAAGCAGCTCCCTGACCACAGAGTTCCCCCCTTCCTGCCACGCCTTCCCCCAGCTTTGGCCCCTTCCCCTTCCTGCAGAGACCAGGCGGCTCCCGGAAGGGCCAACTAAGGGAGCCGAGAGAACTGGGCTCTTCCGCCTCAGTCGTACAGTGACCAAGGCCCTGCCACCACAGACAGCGGGGACTGCCACCTTGGGAGAGGCTGTCTGACTCGCCATCACTGCGGCCCTGTCCAGACACATCCATGATACCTGCCCTCGAGATTCCCTAAGGTCCCACGACGGCCCTTTCCTGCCCACAGGGAACTCTACTCGTCTTGATTTGAGTTTACTAATTTGTGCGGGCAGCAAATTCAGGAGGGGAAGGTTTGGGGAAAAGAGGAAATGGGGAATGGAGAAGTGGAAAGGACGAGAGTCAGAGGAGGGGGTGGGGACGAGCAGGAAAAACTGCTAAGAAATGCATCTAACAGAGAAGCGGAGGGTTACCAACGAGTTCCCCATCAAAACGAAAGACAGTGAGACACCGAGGAAGACGTACCAGGAGTTTCGGCACAGGGGCCAGAAGGCAGCTAGTTTATTACGATTTCTGCTTTCTAGAACATGCTCAGAAAGCCAGACAGCACAGTGTTCTCTTGCTCTCTCTCACACACGCACACACATGCACAGCCCTGTTTCCAATGACCACAGGCCCCGCACAGGAAGTTCACAGGCAGGAGAACGAAGGCTGTCCACTCAGCGATCCACTTCTCCAAACACAATGTCCTGGGTACCTAGGTCGGGGGGAAGAAGTGGTGTCACCCAGGACCCACAGCTCATGACTGTGCCTAGTCTGTGAACAGGAAGTTCAGATTCTGCCCCCAACCAGTCCCAGGCCCTTGGTTGGGACATCTACATGACGCAGTGGGTCTCGTACCTATGATGGCAACAACGTCCGCCAACATGTGTCCCTTGGACATCTTGTCTAAACCAGCCTGCAGAGAGTCAGATAGCAACCGTGTTAGGGGGCAGCAGGGAAAGTCCCTGAACGCGCCAGCCCAGTCAGCCACTCCTACGTTCATTCTTGGGACCTGGAGTCACCAGGTGGTTCTTACCAGGTGGGCGAAGCCAGGAGCCTTGATTTTGCATCGATACGGGCGGCTGCTGCCATCAGAGACCAGGTACACCCCGAACTCTCCCTGACCAAGAAAGAGGGGACCGCCTCCATTAGCAGGAAGGACAGGTTTCTCTGCAGCTCTGTTCACCCTCACGTCCTCTCTCATGGACGGACATGCATTTATTCGGACATCTATCTCGGATCACCCACTGCCCTCCTCCCGCGTCGCCTCACCTTGGGAGCCTCGATGGCAGTGTACGTGGCCCCTGGAGGAACCTGGTAGCCCTCAGTGTACAGCTTGAAGTGATGGATCAAAGACTCCATCGACGTCTGCAGGGAAGGAAAGGGAGCATCCGTGAACCAGACACAAAGTGTCCCGCAGGGCGTCCCCAGCACAGGAGGCATCTTCACCCTCATGGAGACAAGAGGTGAGCAGAGAAGATACAGAGGAAGAGGGGCTGCGGGAGTGCAGGCTCTCACATGGTGAATTCTTGGAAAACGGAAAACTACAAAGCAGGACTTGATCCAAACACGCTAGGCCCCTCCCAAGGCCTCCCTCTGTGTCCCTGCACCGACCTTCATCTCAGCTCTCTTAGGTGGGGACACTTTGGCATCGTCAACCTTGATCTCCCCAGGAGGCATCTTGTTCAGACACTGAGAGATGATTCGAATGGACTGGCGCATTTCCTCCACCCGACACAGGTACCTGACACGGACAGGACAGGCGGGGAGCGCCGGGCGTGAGGCAGGGCGCCCTCGGTGACGGGGACCCAGAAAGCGCCGGCTCGTCCCCCTTCCTTCGCCCCAGCGTGGCATCTCTGCTTGGCTCAGCCCCCAGACAGAGCCTGCCACCTTCTGATCCTAGCACTGGGCCCTTCCCCAGGGCCTCTCAGGTTTCCTCAGACACAGCCTACAGCACTTCCCTCTTTAAGCAGCCTTAACCACGTTTTGGGCCACAGAACAGCTGCGAGTCAGAAACCCAAACACAAAAATAGTAAACCTCATGCAGCGTCAGTCAAGATGTGTGGACGTGAAGCTCAGTGGAAAGAGCAGGGGGTTGGGGAGTGGCTCCCGGGACCCCCAGGTCCATCTGTCACGTGTGCCTTAGCTTCCCTGGCTATAAAACGCAGCCCTGACCGGTTCTAGCTCAGACATAGGACAAGGTAGAGGGAAGTAAGGTGTCCCATGTGTGCACCTAGTGTGACACACACCACACACAACAGACTGGGAAGTGCAGCCGAGAAGGATTCGGGCCTCACCTGTCATAGCAGTCCCCTCGGGAGCCAATGGGGACGTCGAACTCCATCTGGCTGTAGGCGTCGTAAGGCTGGGTCTTGCGCAGGTCCCACTGGATGCCTGAGCCCCGCAGCATCACCCCGCTGAGGAGAGCGCGCCAGGAACAAGGGTCACCGCCAGCCAGGACGGAGGCGCTGTCCTCAGTCTCCTGTCCCCTCCCCCACAACCCCAGCGGGGGACAAACTCAGAGCAGGGCACAGAAGACGCCCGGTTCCTGAAGCCGAGACACTGGGCTGGAACCCCCTGTCCCCCGCGCCCTCAAGGCGAGAAGTCTGTTGCTCCCACCTAAAACCATAGTTCAGTGCTTCTTCTGCTGTTACAACCCCAATGTCCACTGTCCGATTTCGCCAGATCCTATTGTTGGTCAGCATCTGTTGGTCAAGAAAACTGGTGGGTGAACCTCATGACCCCTTCAAGCACCTCTGTGTTTCTCTACACTTGGGGACTAAAAGCCCACAAGCCCCGCGTGGGAAGAAGGAGGGATTTTCCCCACCGACTCCTCTCTTACCTCCTCCAACTCATCAATCCGAAGGGAGAAGTTCTTAGAAAACTCATAAATATCATCCATAAGCCCAAGGGGTAGGTCCTAGAAGCACAGGAACACGCGTCAGCACAGGCCAGCACTGCCCCCCAGTGGTCACAGTGGGTGCGGGCGCGGGGACTGCTCACCTGGTGCACACCCCCGGGCCGGACGTAAGCTGCATGCATCCGGGCACCCGACACCCGCTCATAGAACTCAAACATCTTCAAAGGACACACAGGGAATCAGTGACCAAGTCCTTGCCCTGCCTCACATGGCAGCTCACTAAGGTTACACAGACCTCCCCCCAAGCGTTCGCCCCACACCCCTCTCCTTTTCTGCCTTGTCACACCTTCTCCACTTCCGCATCCCCTCCCTCCTCTCATACCTTCTCCCTTTCTTCAAACATCCAGAAGAAAGGCGTCATGGCCCCAATGTCCAGGGCGTGCGTGGTCACAGCCATGATGTGGTTCAAAAGCCGAGTAATTTCCCCGAACAGCACTGCAGAGAGGTGAGGACAAGAAACACAGAGGGGCCAAGCGGCCAGGCTGACTGGGCCGCTCTGTTCCGAGCCCGGGGTCTGCACACTAAGCTGGGGTTCCAGGCCCCTCGGAGGGGACGGGGCTGTGCTGTACCCCAGTGGCTGCAGGGGGGTGGGCGTACCACGGATCCACTGCGCCCGCGGCGGAGGCTGGATGTTGAGCAGCTTCTCCACAGCCAGCGAGTAGGCCTGCTCGTTACACATCATGGACACGTAGTCCAGCCGGTCGAAGTACGGGAGGGCCTGGGAAGACGGGGGAGCCGGGCGCCATGAATGACACAGGCCTGGGAGCTTGCTGCTGCACAAGCCTTCCCAGTCCCGGGGGCCCTTGCAGGGCGGAGGGAACTCCCGATAACCAGCACTGTGCCAGGGTCGCCAGTCCCCACAGGGACAACACTCCCACAATGCTCCGTGACTGGGCCCAGTGCGCAGGGCAGCACGTCGCTGTACGGTGTCCCCTCCCCAAACACACAGGAAGGTGATCACCTTGGGAACACAGCATAGTAACACGCAGTAAAATTACAAAGTATGAGTTTCCAGTACTTCCTGCCTTGGGTTTTAATATAGCGCGTTAAATCGTAAACTAATAAAAAGTGGCTCACAAAATTCCTGAAAATGTAACAATCTGTCCTGTGACACCACTGCCAAAAACTCCCTGGCCCAAGACGCCTCTGTCAAAGAAGACTGCCCCTCTAAGACACTGAAGGGGAAAGGCCATCGGCGTGGGGGGCACGGGGCCGTAAGGGAGGAGCAGCGCCGGGAAGGGTGCGGTCTGTTTCTGGTGGGAACAGTTCCCTGGTTCTCCCCCAGAACTACGAAACTAAGTCTCGGCTGTCAGCCAGCCTTGGCTTCCAGGAAGAGAGGGGTGGAGACGCCCCTCCCTGAGACAGTCAGTTCTTGTCCTGACGTCCTTGTGACGTGGGACAATGCTACAGGATTAACTCCATGGACTCTGGAACCAGAAGCCACCGCTGCTTGGACTCTCCAGGGGAATCCCATTCTGGTCACTGGTTCTAAATCCTAACTCCATCATCCTGTTAGCAAGACCTTTCTTCACGATAGTAAGGAAAAAAGTCCAGATTCCTAACTCAGATCCAATTCCTTGAAATGTAACCGTCACCACTAGGATCACACAGTTCTCCCAAAAACGGCAAACTGTGTCACAAACTCCCTCCCAGTCGCTCTGACTCACTGAAAGTTTCAAAAACAAACCCTGAGAGCTGGAAGATACAAGAATCAGCTGCTAATCCTAGGGAGCTGACGTCACTGTCCTCCTGCTCAGCGCCAGGGACAGTGGTTTTGACGTACTGGTCCGAGCAGGGAGACTGAGGCACTGGAGTAAGGGTCAAGGGAGTGCGAGCTGGGAGTGAGCTCAGGCTGCAGAGCATTTCTGCTGGATAAAGCAAATCCAGATGGTTTAAGTCACGTGTCCCCTGCCACATCCGTCCATCCTCCCAGCCAAGACTGTCCTAATAACCTCAAAGGGCCACTCCCCTCAAAAGCCTCCTCCCCTGGGGTTTTGGGGGCTGTAAACCAGCCAAGTCCCAGAATAAAGCACCCCAGGTCCTGTCAACAGGCTGTGTTCACCCCACACCTGTAGGTAGGTCTTGTATTCGATGAGCTTCTCAGTGCCTCGGTGCAGCAGCCCGATATGAGGGTCACACTTGCGCACCATCTCCCCACTCAATTCCATCACTAGTCGTAGGACGCCATGGGCTGCTGGGTGCTGAGGCCCAAAGTTCAGGGTCAGGTTCGACACCATTGTGTCCTTTGGAGGGTCCACATCTGAGAAGTCGGAAACAGTTGAGAGTCAAAGGGTAATTCCCTTGAGAACCCTGAGACGGCAAGGATTACCCTTCCCTACAGGTCTTCCATCTCACCGTGCTGTACCATAAGTACCCTAATCTCCACCATGACCAGGAAGACCACAGATGGGAAAAGGGGAAGGGAGATCGAAAGTCTGTGATGAGAGGGAACATGAACCCACTCTCCCCATGTCGCCCAAAATACCTTTTTAAAAGGAACAGTAGTAACAGATAACACGATCGCGTGCCAGGCACTCCTCCAAGCGCTTTCCTTACTTTCATTAATTCTCACAACCACCGTGAGTAGTAGGTACTATTAACCCCATTGTATGGGTGAAACTGAGGTTGGAGAGGATAAACGCCTTCTCATAGGGCTGGTACACGGCAGAGCCAGGGCAGAACTCACCCTTTAGCTCCAGGGTGCACACTCTTAACCACTAGGATACACTGCCCTCCAACAGTAGCTGATGGATGGCCAACGAATCAGGAAACGTATCGTAATCCTTACCACTACTAATGACAGTTCTTACCCTGAAGAAGCTTCCAATTTAATTTGGGAAATACATACATGTGAAAACTAGTAACACAGGTCAAATTTACAAGTTACCAAATGTGGCTTAGCCATCAATGCTTAAAGGAAGGAAAGAGGGCCCGCCAAGTGACTCAGTTGGTTAAGAGGGCAAGCTCCGAGCAACAGGGTCTCCGGTTTGATTCCCACATGGGCCAGTGAGCTGCGCCTGAGCTGAGCTGCTGCTGAGCTGCCAAGAGGCAGCAGGATGGCTCAGCTGGTGAGAGCACGTGTTCCTAACAACAAGGTTGCCAGTTTGACTCCCGCATGGGATGGTGGGCTATGCCCCCCGCAACATTGAACACAGCACCTTGAGCTGAGCGGCCGTGAGTTACGAACGGGTAGCAGGATGGCAACTGTACTTGGAGCTGCGTTAGCTGTGCCCTCCACACCTAAGATTGAAGGACAACAACTTGGCTGTTTTCCTCCCCCAATTCCCCTATAAAATCTTTTTTAAAAAATAAAGGAAGGAAAGAACAGTGACAACTCCATGGAGGCAGGAGCTGGGCTGGCTCTTAAATACAGGAATGATTCTGAGAGGCAGCGAGAAGAGACACCCAAGCTATGGGATCAACACGAGTCAACCTTAGAACCAAGGAAGTATCTTATCTGCCAAGAGGCAGAAGATTAGTGATAGCAGGCAGTAGGGACAGTATTTCAATGATCGGCATCACTAATAACAACACTATGAGAGACACATCACGTGCCAATCAATACAGAAAGTGGCTTATGTCACCATCTCATTTGACCCTCACAGTAATGCCATTCAGTGGGCACTTCATTCACAGCTAAATGAAGAACCAAGATCTGACACCAGAGGCAACCTTTTCTTTCTTTTTTTTTAAGCTGAGCCATCCTGCCACCTGTTGGCAGCTCAGAGGCTGCTCAGCTTGGGCCGGGCATTGAACCGCTGTTGCTCAGAGCTCAAACTCTTGGGCGAGCTCTTAACCAACTGAGCCACTCGGCCGGCCCAGAGGCAACCTTTTCAATGCAAACTCTTCACCACGGGCTCTGGAGTCAAACAGAAACAAGTACAAACCCATCTGTGGTTCCTTGATCAAGCTTTACTCTCTCCCTGCACCAGAATTTCCTCAAAACTGAGGTAATACTGGTGTCACTCCCAGAGGGCTGCAGTAAGGACGAGGTAAAATAATGCACACGGACCACTTAGCTCATGGTAAGCACCCAGCTGTTTTTACAGTTAAGCTTTTGAAAAGTAACAGGAAGTGCCTTTGAGGGTTTTTGAGCATGAGAATGAATGACATGGTACAATGATGTTTGGGGAAGTTGAAGGCAGTGACGCTGTACAGGATAGCCGCAGGGTGACGACGTCAGTGGCAGGAACCCAGAGAAGAGACTCCTGAAATAATCAAGGTCTAAAACACAGTAAGTCTGAACAAGAAGGGGAGAGGTGACCAGATGTAAGACATTATGAAACAGCTGCGTGGTTTGGTGACCTGCTGCACACGGACACGGAGGGAAAGAGAGAGAAGAGAGCCAAAGGTGACTAAAAAGTCTCAACTCTGAGAGGATGGCAGAGCCACTGATCAAAATCCAAAATGCGAAAGGAAAAGCTGGTTTTGATGGGGTAAGAAATGTTTGTATTCAGGAAGTTTTCATTTGGGAGCCAGTGGGAAAACCACCTTGTCTAGCGAAGGAGACGGACATATATTGAATCTGTGGGAAAAGCTGAAGCTAAAGGTAGGAATTTGGTAGGGACCTTCGAGGGTTGGCTGGGACCCACTCTGTTTTCTCCTGGAATGTTCTTCCTTTCCTTCTCTACTTGACAAATACCTACTAGTATCACTATCATTGTGTTTGTTGACTTGCATGGTGAAAGCAGAAAGGGTGTGGGCTAAAACTTGCCCAAAATGGAGCGCTCAAGAGCACTCAAAAATCAGGTTGGGACAGGGGCTCTGGGCACTCACCATTCCACGGCGGAGGCTTCCAGTGGGCTGTTTCCTTAGTGGGGTACATGACCGCTCCCCCGAACTGCTCTGCCCATTCCACATCGGGCTGCCACTGCCGAGCACCTCTAGGGAGTTCAAGACAGACCCCAGACAATGGGCTGAATGGTGCCCGGCTGCCTTCGCACCCCCTTGCAGGCAGGCAGACACCAGGGGAGGCTGTCCGGGATTCCTCAGTGCTAAGTCACGGGCACACAGCAGGTGCTGCTGTGGCACAACAAGCTGGAACTCTAGCGGTTCCATTCCTAACAACTTATTCCCAGGATTACTACCCATCTCTTCTGTGCACGCAAGGCTGGGGTGCTGGCTCCTTCAGACCCCATCCTGGTGAGCAGGATCGCGGGAAAGGTGTGCGTTCAAGGCCAACTGACGACAGAGGAGCGAGCGCAGACCGGCTCCGCGGCTCGGCTCAGGCATGGCGGGGCGCCGCCCTGGGGGCACCCCTGCGTCTCAGCTTACGCTCACGTAGCCCCCTCAGGGGACATGCCTCGGCCCACAGCGTCTAAGGAGAGCCTCACCAATCGCACCCCGCCCGTGACGGGGTTCAGAGGTAGCAGAGCAAGGTGACACCCGATCTCACCCCTGGCCGAACCAGCTCAAGACCCTCTCTCCTCCGCCAGAGCGGGCGCCAGGCACCTGGAGCCCGAGAAAGCAGGCCTGGGCGAGGGGTCACGGGCCCGGGTCATTCCTTCCTCGGAGGTCACAGGGCCCATGGCGGTCCCAGCTTTGGGGACAGCGCGTCGACGGCTGCCCCGGGCCTCACCTGCTGGGCTGGGTAGGCAGCCGGCCCCCAGCCCACGGCCGCAGCACCTGGGCCGTGACGCCCCGCAGGCCGCGCAGAGCCCTCAGCGCCGCCATCTTGCCCGCTGCGGACGGCGGGAGGAGGGCCGGGCGGAAGTCCCGCCCACGCACCTCCTTGTGGGCTTCGCGCCCGTCGGCACAACGCGGCCGCCATCTTGGAAGCTGGCGGG